CTGGGATCCGGGTTCAAGTCCTGCATTGGGCTCCCGCAGGGAGCCTGCTTCTCCCTCTGCCTGTGTCTCTGCCTCTTTCTCTGTGTCTCACATTAATACACAAATAAAAATCTTTAAAATATATATATATATATATTTTAAAAAACAAAACTGATTCTCTACAGCTCTCAGAGCAACTACTTTTGCAGCTATCTTGTTTTCAAGTATCCATTTAATCTAATTTATATACTTTATTGGCATATAGTTGTTCATAGCATTTCTCTGTAATCCTTTTTATTTCTGTAAGGCTGATAGCAGTGTCCCCTCTTTCATTTGTGATTCTCATTATTTGAGTTTTCTCCACCTCTCTTTTTCATGATCAATGTAGCTAAAATGTTGTCAATTTTATTTATCTTTTCAAAGAGCCAATTTTATTGATTTTCTCATTTTTCTAGTCTCTATCTCACTTATTTATGCCCTAATCTTTATTATTTCCTTCCTTCTGCTTGTCTGCAGTGCCTTAAAGTGAAAGTTTAGGTAATTGATTTGAGACCTTTCTTCTTTCTTAGTATAGGTGCTTACAGCTGTAAATCTCTAAGAAGTGTTATAGCTGCATTCCGTAAATTATAGTATTTTGTTTTTCACTTTCATTCATTTAAAAGTATTGTATGATTTTCTTTTTGATTCTGCTTTGATCTTTTGGTTATTTAGGAGTGTGTTGTTTAATTTCCACATGTTTATGAATCCCTCCAGTTTTTTTTCTGTTACTAAGTTCTTTTTTAAAGATATTATTTATTTATTCATGAGAGACACAGAAAGAATGGCAGAGGCACAGGCAGAGGGAGAAGCGGGTTCCCTGTGGGGAGCCAGATGAGGGACTCGGTCCCAGGACCCCAGGATCAAAACCTGAGTTGAAGGCAGATACTCGGTCACTGAGCCACCCAGGAGCCCTCTGTTACTAATTTCTAATATCACTCCAATGTGGCCAGAGAATACAGTTTGTGTTATTTCTATCCATTTTAACATATTGGGGTTTGTTTTATGGCCTAGCCTATGTTCCATTCTGAGGATACTGTGTGCATTTCTGAAGAGGCTATACTCTGCTGTTGGTGGCTGACAGATGTCCATTAGGTCTTGCTGGTTTGCAGCGCTGTTCTTTGTGTCTTTATTGATCTTCTTTCAGGTTGTTCTGTCCATTGTTGAAATTGGGATATTGAGGTCTTCAATGAATATTATTCTGTTTTTTCCTGTATGTCTGTTAGCTTTTGATTGTGTATTTTGGTACTGTTATTATTTGCGTGTATGTTTATAATTATTATATATTCCTCATGGATTGACCTTTTATCACTATAAAATGTCACTCTGTCTCCAGTATCAATTTTTTTAAAGTCTACTTTATCTGATGTTAGTAAAATATTAATATCTTTTTGTGGTTGCTGTTTCCATGGTATATCTTTTTCTATCATTTTACTTTCAATCTAGCTGTATCTTTTACTATAAAAGTGCATTTCCTATAGTGAGTGTATAGTTGAATCAATTTTATTCAGTAGAACAATATTCCCTTTGATTGAATTAATTCACAATTGATGTTATTATTGATATATAGTTGATCCTCATTATTCATGAATATCGCATTTACAAGTTCACCTACTCACTAAAATTGATTTGTAGCCTCAAAGTCAGTACTCACGGTGGCTTCACATTCATTTGTGGACATGCACAGAACAGCAAAACATTGGGTGTCCCCACATGTGTGTTCCCAGCTGAGGTCAAACAAGATGCTCCACGTCTTATTTCAGTTAATGCTGCAAACAAGTGTCCTGTGATGTCTATTTAGTGCCACACTTTCCATGTTCTTGTGCTTCTCTTTGGTGATGTCACTGTTTGAAATGGCCTCATAAATCAGGAAGGCTGTGATGTGCCTCACAGAGAAAATACATGTGATAGATAAGCTTCGTTCAGGTGTGTTATGTTGCTGTTGGAAGGGACTTCAGTGTTAAAGAGTCAGCAATGAATATTAAGTATTCACTGTGAAATAATAATGTATTTTGACATATTATATATATATGGTAAAATATATATGTCTCTATCCTTGGTTTTCACTAAAGTTTGGTCTCTGACCACAGTTTCTAACACTGCACTCCTAAATCCCTTGGAATTTCTTGAGTGATAGGAATGAATTTGTTATAATGAGGTAATTCTTAGTTGGCTTCAGGATGGGGGCTACTCACCAGAAAGACCAAGCTCTGATTATAAGCCTGGTGCTTTCAGCCCCATCCCTGTCCTCAGGAAAGGGGAGAGGGGCTAGAAATTGAATTAATAATCAACCATGCCTACACAGTGAAGCCTCCCTAAAAATCCAAATGCATGGAATTCTGAGAGCTTCCAGTTTGATGAACATGTCCACGTGCCAGGAGGGTGGTGCACCCCAGTTCTGCAGGGAGAGAAGCTCCTTCAACCCAGGACCCATGCAGACCTCGCCCTGTGTATCCCTCCACGTGGCTGTCTGTCTGCAAAATATCCTTTGCAATAAGGTCACCAATAGGAAGTCAGCTCTTTTCCTGGGTTCCGTGAGGTGCCCTAGCAGAGGGTTGAACCCGAGGAGGAGGTCATAGGAACCTCTGATTTGTAGCTGAGTCAGATGGAAGTTGTGGGTGACGGGGTGTCTACTGCTGGCATCTGAAGTGGAGCCAGTCTTGTGGGCCTGAGTCCTTAACCTGGGAACCTGCCTGTACTAGGTTAGGGTTGGATTGGAACTGAGTCGTGGGACACCCAGAGGGCATCAGAGGGCTGGTCGGTGGGAAAAACCCACACACCTGCTGTCACAAGCATTACAGTGAAGGAAGACGCTGAGATTCTCCTAGACACACATACAAGGAGGCTCCGTATTGATCAGCTGATGAAGATGGGACCAGGGGCCCACAGGAACCTAACTCTAGTTCTAACGCTGGGAGCGCTGGGCTAACCCAGCATGCGTGGCGATTTTCCGTAACAAGATCTCCACCAGTGGCGCAAGTTGGCTGCAGCTGGATCTTGCCTGCTGCTTTGCTGTTCTGCTTTCTCTGTCTCGTGTCTTCTCGTGTGGGCTCCTCTCTCTCTCCTTTGACACACTCTTTTGCACTTAGTGAATATTTTCTCATTCAGCATTTTGTATCTTTAATGTTTTTTCTTTTTTCTTTTTTTTTTTTTAGTTTTTTCCTAGTTTTGCTCTAGGGCTTCCGTATATTTATTTTAACTTAGTAGAATCAGCTTCCTGTTTACACTAAGTCAATTCCAGTGGCGTAAAAACATGCTGTTTCCACTGACCTCCATCCCTTCCTATCTCTTTGTGGTCTTGCTCTTACATATACTCCATCTGTCAATGTTGAAAAACACTCGATATATTGTCATAATTATTACCTAAGATGCTTTTATGACTTCTAAGAAGCTGAGAGAAGACGGGAAAGTGAGTATTCTATTTACAGCCTTTTATCGTTTCTAGTTCTTTTCACGTTTTCTTGTGGATCTGAGTTGCCATCCGGGGTCATTTCCTCCGCTGGATGCAGCTTTGCTACCACCTGCCTCGTTGGTCCCATGTTGTCAAATACATCACATCACACACAGGCCCAGCAAAGCGGTACGTGCAATTCTGTGTAGGCAGCTGCTTTCCAACTTAGCAAGCTGTCTAAGACTCAGTGAGGGAGAAAAGCACGCATCTGCACCGTCCGTTGTAATCACATGACCACCTTCACTGGTGTGCTTCCTGTCCCCCTGGGGATCAGAATTCCCAGCTGGGTTTGCTCCCCTTCAGCCTGAGGGACTCCCCTCACTGCATCTTCTATGGGGGGGGGCTGCCAACATCAAATTCCCTCCGTTTTTATTTCCCTGGGAATGTATTCTGACTCATTTGTAAAACTAGCCTTGTTGGACAGACGATTCCTGATTGACACTTCTTTTCTCTTGAGTACTTTGACGACCTCATCCCCCGTCCGTGATGAGAACTCGGCTGTGGAACTCACTGTGTGCACTTGTGGGTGACTCGATGCTTTTCTCCTGCCTTTGACTGTCAGCACCCTCACCGCAATGGGTCCGTTTGTGGGTCTTTTGTGTCTGCCCCATTAGCAGTGCATTGAGTTCCTGGATGTGTAGATTAAAGTTTTTCAATAGATTTGGAAACTTTTAAGTCATTATTTCTTTGAGATGATACCATTTCTCCACTGAGGACTGACTGCCCTGCCACCCTCAGGGCAGCCCCCAGTCCCACCCATCAGAGCTGATGAGGCTTTAAACCCTGATGCCCACTGTCCCCACGAGTCTTGATGGAGCCCTGCAGCTCAAAGCATCACCAAGGCCCTGCCCTCGCCACTTCAGGGGCTCGGCAGAGGATGGCGGCCACGTGTCCGTGAGGGCATGGGGGCCGTGCAGGATGTTGCATACTCACTACGTCTCAGGCGTCGAACCAAGCGTCTGGGCAGGAAGCAATGAAGCAAATGCATTGCCCATCATGGTTATTCCTACTGTGCTAACCTGCATCCGGGTCCTTGGCCCCGTCTATGCGCCAGTCTCTGCCCCCAGGACGCTTTTCTCACACCTGCCCTAGGGCTCTGTCCTGGGAGACCCATACCCCATCAACACCCACTACAACCAGCAGCATCAGCCCACAAACCCCATGGCCAGGCCACTTGAGCCTCATCAGAACTGTCCAGAGCTAAATATCTCACTCCCGCTCAAAGCCCACGTTCCAGGATTGCTCCCACCTCAGCCCTTCCTTTGGAGGAGAACGGCGCCCCCGCCCCCCACCGTGGGAGGGAGCATAAGCTGTCACTTTAAGAAAATCACCTATTGCTATGGTCTCCACAAAAGCATCAAGGCATTTCCATGGTCTTTCCTCTGAGGACAAACGCAGGTCGGGAGCCCCACAAGCCAGGGGCAGACGGTGACAAGCCCGTGGGAATAAACACGCTGAACAATAAGGAAGGGGAGGCTTCACTACCCTGTTGTTGGGACAACACACGCACCAGGAGGGCTATAAAAGCCAACAGCCCAGTACCTCACACACTCACACCCACACCCGTACCCACACACTCACCCGTACCCACACCCCCACCCCAGCACCAACACCATGGCCGCCTCCACCCTGTCCGTCTGCTCCAGCGACCTGAGCTACGACAGCCGCGTCTGCCTGCCCGGCTCCGGTGACTCCTGCCCCGACTCCCCCTGGCATGTGGACGAATGTCCCGAGAGCTACTGCGAGCCCCCCTGCTGTGCCCCGGCCTCCTGCCTGACCCTCCTCTGCACCCCTGCGAGCTGCGGGTCCAGCTCCTGCCCATCAGCCTGCCCCGGCTCCTGCCAGCCCTCGTGCTGCAGCTGCTCCCCCTGCCAGGAGGGCTGCTGTGTGTCTGTCTGCTGCAAGCCCGTGTGCTGCACCCCCGTCTGCTGCAAGCCCGTGTGCTGCACCCCTGTCTGCTGCAAGCCTGTGTGCTGCACCCCTGTCTGCTGCAAGCCCGTCTGCTGTGAGGCATCCCCTTGCTCAGCCTCCCCCTGCTGCCAGCAGTCTAGCTGCCAGCCCTCCTGCTGCAGCGCCTCCCCCTGCCAGGAAAACAGCTGTGTGTCTGTCTGCTGCAAGCCTGTGTGCTGCACCTCTGTCTGCTGCAAGCCTGTGTGCTGCACTCCTGTCTGCTGCAAGCCCGTGTGCTGCACCCCTGTCTGCTGCAAACCCGTCTGTTGCCAGGCCTCCCCCTGCTGCCAGCCCAGCCCCTGCAGACCCTCTTCCTGCGTGTCCCTACTCTGCCGCCCCGTGTGCAGACCCGCCTGCTGCTCATGCTCCTCCCCTTGCCAGTCCAGCTGCTGCCGACAGGCCTCCAGCACGTCCCTGCTGTGCCGTCCCATGTGCTCCCGCTGATGGGGCAAGTGACCCTGGGGCGCAGGGCTCAGGCCCCAACCCAGGGATGGTGGACCTCCCGTCCACCCCCCAGCCCAGCCTTCACCTGTGCTAGGTAGCTGCCCCCACCCACGACGGGGTCCCCTGGATGTCCACCCTCCTGAGCTGACTTCACCTCCTCCCTCCTAAGAAGGCTGACACTGCGGCTCTCCGGGGCTCCTGCTCCCGGGACGCACCTCCACCTGCCCTGGGTCACCTGCCTTCCCTCCCAGTTCCTCAGCTCGGCTCTGGTCCCCTGGCCTCAACCTACGACCTGTTGGCACCTCCCCAGACCCCAATAAACTCACTTCACCGGCTGACCTGCTTCCTTATATCTGACTCTCACGGGGGTGGGGTGCCGGGGTTTGGACCCGACAGTGGTCTTTTCCCGCCTGAACATCTCTGGGAGGAGGGATGAGAGGTCCCCAAGGCCCAGGGCCCAACTGCTCTGGGTTGGGCTACCGGGTGGGACTCCCGCCCTGGCGTAGGATGGTCAGGGCTGCTGGGCACCACATGCGTCCCCAGGGCTCCCAAGGCTGGCCACCTGCACGTGGGGCATGGCCTGGGGGCTCAGCCCCGGGCCCATCTCCACCCACCACCCCAGCTGGGCAAAGCGGCCCAGACAAGCCGGCCTTGGGCCTGCGGGCAACACAGCCCCTAGGGGCCGGGGGGCCTCCTGGGGTCCCCCTGGGGTCCTCCCGAGTGCTGTGCTCATCCCCTGGAAACGTGGAGGACTGGGGTGACACTGTTGCTGCCAAGATGGGGTAACAGGGACTGGATAACTTCCCACCTGGGCCAACTCAGAGCCCTGACAAGACCCTGAAGCCAGCGTGTCAGGTTCAGGACCCGAGGAGCACCAGAAAAGCACAGAGGGGAAGGAAAGGCACAAGGTGCATATCGCCGTTAGGGCTCTCACCCCCTGGAGAATATTTCCGGCCCCATGCAGGAGGGTCACCCCAGCAGAGCTCCAGGCACCCTCAAGTTCACAGATGGCCTTGGGCGCAGGGGGAGGCACAGGCAGCCAGTGTTTGGGTTTGGGGTCCCCGTCATGTTCCGGGGTCGATCTGTGCCCCACCTCTGCCCATCCCATGCACCCCGCGGCACCTGCTGGTGTAGTCTCCAACCTGGGTCCTTCCAGGGACCTCCTAAGGCAGGACCCACAGACGGTGCAGGGACTCCGTGGGTGGCTTTTTCATTCCCACCTGGGTGTGTAAATTTCCTCCGCATCTCTTCACGGTGTGATCGCTCTAATTCTTCTGTGCTAAGGTCGACTTGGGGCGACCATCCTGCTGCCCGTCCCCAGACTCTTCCATTCTTGGGAAAATGAAGCCGCGTCCACATGGGACATAGACTCGCCTTTGCCCATCCCGCCGCCCCTGGAGCCCACCCTCCCTCCTCTGTCCCTGAAGCACCTTGGAGAAGGGGGGTCACGTCGTCGTTGTCTCTCTGTGACTGGCCTGCGTCTCCGGCCACTAGGTCCTCAGGCTTCCCCCGCATTGGAGTCAGACTCGCTTCCTCTTTAAGGCTGATCACTGTTCTGCGGGAGGGACCGCGTTTGCTTCTCTACTCATGCCTCGGTGGATGCTTGGGCCGCTTTGACTCTTTAGCTCTTGTGAATGATGCCGCTGTGACCACGGCTGTCAGAGATCTCCTTGAAGGCCTGCTTCCAGTTGTCTTGAGCAAATGCTCGTGTAAGTGCTGGACCCTGTGGTAATTCTACTGTTCATCTTTTCGAGAACCATCGTACTGATTTCCACAGTGGCCGTGGCCAGTTCACGTTCCCACTCACAACCCCCAAGGGCTTCAATTTCTCCACATCCTCATCAACACTTGCTATCTTCTTCTTACATATATATCATATACACTATCTCCTCCTTGTGATAATATTTACATAAATATTATATATTTATCCTAATGGGTGTAAACTGGCTTCTCATTGGACTTTTGATGCGCATTTCTCTAATGATGAGCCATGTTGAGCATCTTTTCATCCGCTCATTGGTCACATACCTTGTACGTCTTTGGAAAACCGTCTATTCCAGTCCATTGCTTGTTTCTGAGTGGGTTGGTTTGGCTTTTTGTTATTGAGTTATGGGAATTCCCTGAACATTTTAGATACGAGTCCCTTATCAGAACGGGATTTTCAAATGTTTTCTCCCATTTCTCTGGGTTACCTTTTATTCTCCATTGGTATTGTCTTTTGAGGCAAAAATATTTAAATTTTCGTGAAGTCCAAGTTTTGTATTTTTTGTGTTACCTGTGCCTTGCTATCATATCTAGGAAATCACTGTGGAACCCAATGTTGTGAAGCCTTCATCCTGTGTTTCTGTTTTCTTCCAAGAGTTTTATAGTGTTAGGTCTTCCATTTATGTCATGGATCCGTTTTGAGTTCATTTTTGTGTGTGGTGTGAGGTAGGGGTCCTTCAATCTCTTGCATGTGGATAGTCAGTTTTCCTGGCACCATTTTTTCAAAAGACTGTCCTTTCTCCATTGAATGGACTTGGTAACCTTGTGAAAAATGGTTTGACCTGAATATGGAGGTTTATTTCTGGACTCTATGATATTCCATTAGTTTACATGGCTGCCCGTTTTATGCCGGTACCACCCTATGGTAATTATTGTAGCTTTGTCCCTTTGAAATCAGGAAGTGTATGTCCTCTGGCCTTGTTTTTTCAGAATTGTTGTGACTATACAGAGATTCCATGTGAGTTTGAGGGGTTTAATGTTTCTGTAAAAAAACATCATTGAGGGCAGCCTGGGTGGCTCAGCAGTTTAGCGCCACCTTCAGCCCAGGGCCTGATCCTGGAGACCCGGGATTGAGTCCTGCTTCGGGCTCCCTGCATGGAGCCTGCTTCTCCCTCTGCCTCTCTCTCTCTCTCTCTCTCTCTCTCTCTCATGAATAAATAAATAAAAATGTTAAAAAAATCATTGAGGTTTCAATAGCGATTGTATGACATCCGTAGATTGCCTTGGGTAGTATTGATGTCTTAGCAATCCTGAGCCCTCCAACCTGTGAACATGGAATGTCTTCCCATTGAATCATGTCTTCTTTACCATCTGTCAGCAACGTTTTTTAGTTTTCATCATACAGGCTTTTGCCTCCGTGGTTAATTCCCTTTATTTTATTCTTTTTGCATGCAATTGTAAGTGGAATTGTTTTTATAATTTCCTTTTTGGGCTGTTCATTATTAGTGTATAGAAATGCAACTGATTTTTGTGTGTTGACTTTGTATCCTGCCGTTTTTCTCAATTCATTCCTAGTGCTAACAGGTCTTTAGGATTTTCTACATATAAGATCATAGCATCTTATATGAACAGAGGTGATTTCATTTTTTCCTTTCTAATTTAGACTGCTTTTATTTATTATTGTCTAACTACTCTCCTAGAGCCTCCAGTACTGTGGTGATTAGAAGCAGCAAAAGTGGGCATCCTGTGTTGTTTTTGATCTTAGAAGAAAAGCTGTCTTTAACCATTGAGTGTGCTGTGTGCTGTGGGGTTTTCACATATATATTTTATTATGTTGAGATAGTTCCTTCTATTACTACTTTGTTGAGTGTTTTCACCATGAAAGAGTTTTGGATTTTGTCAGATGCTTTTTCTGTATCAGTTGAGAGGATCGTGTACTTTCTTCTTTACTCTGGGAATGTGGGGTTTTCTATTGACTGATTTTCATATGTGGAACCGTCCTTGAATTCCAGAAGTAGATACAACTTTTTGGTTGTTGCATATAATCCTTTGACTATGCTGCTGAATTCAGTTTGCTAGTATCTTGTTGAGGTCTTTTGCATCATTGTTCATGAGGGATATTGGTTTGTGGTTTTCTGTTCTTATCATGTCTTTGACTGGCTTTGTTATCATGGGAATGTAAACCTCATAGAATGAATGGGGGACTGTTCCACCTTGTTTAATCTTTTTAAAAAAAGATTAAAGTGAACAATGAATAATTGGGAAAAAACTGTGAACCTGATATAAGGCATCTGTTGAAAACTTACAGCCAAAAGAAAAAAAAAGAAGAAGAAGAAGAAGAAGAAAGAAAAAAAAGAAAAGAAACCTTACAGCCAACACCATGCCTAACTGTAAAAGACTGAGAGCTTTCCTCTGGAGATGAGGAAGAGGATACAGACGTCCTCTCTCACTGTTCCTACTCAACACCATACCGAAGTCCTATCCATGCAACAAGCAGAAAAAGAAATAAAAGGCATACATGTCAGAAATTAAGAAATACGATGGTCTCAGGGATCCGCGGATGGCTCCCCAGTGTAGCGCCTGCCTTCAGCTCGGGGCATGATCCTGGGTTCCCGGGATCGAGTCCCACATCAGGCTCCCTGCATGGAGCCTGATTCTCCTTCTGCCTCTGTCTCTGCTCTCTCTCCTGTCTCTCTGGCTCTCATGAATAAATAAATAGAATCTTTAAAAAAAGATACAATGCTCTCTATTCACAGAGGACATGACTGTCCGCATGGAATATCCCCAAGAATCCACACAGATCTCCTAGAACTATCAGAGAGTTTAGCAAGGTTGAAGTGTGCAAGTCTAAAAAATTTAAAATTAATTGCATTTCTATATAGTAGCAACAATTCATTGGAATTGAAAAATTTTGTTTAGAGGTGTGATTTGCAATAGAATAAATGATGAAAAAAAGAATAAATGATGAAAACTTAGGTATACATCTCAGAGAATATGGACATAATGAGGACTATCAAAATACTGATGAGAGAAATTTAACAAGGTGTAAGTAAATGGAGAGCTAGACCATGTCCACAGGTTGGAATATTGTTATGGTGTCAGTGACCTCCAGCCTGGTCTATAATAGGTTCAGGGCAATCCCGATGCACATCCCGGTAGGAGCTTTCCGTCCGTATGAGCAAGCTAACTCTAAAATTATTTGGAAAGGCAAAGGAGCTCAAGTATCCAAATCATTTGAAAATGAAGAACAAAGTTGGAAGACTTCACCACTTGACTTCAAGATTTCCTATAAAGTTACAGTAATCAAGACGATGTGATGTTGACAAAGGGATATAATGACGTAGACTAATGAAACAGAATAGACACATAGATCCCCATGAAACAGTCAGCTGATTTTTGACAGAATTGCAAAGTCATGTTAAAGAGACAGAAGTGTACTGGGAACAACTGGACGTCCCAAATGCAAAAAAAAAAAAAAATAAATAAATAAAATAAAATAAAATAAAAAACAGAGAAAGGAGACTTGACCCATACCTCACACTTAGTATAAAAATTCAGTAAAAATGGATCATAGACCTAAATGTAAAATGTAAACATTTTAAGCATTTAGAAGAAAACAGTAGAGGAAATTCTTGTGAAATCTCTGTGTTCGGCAGAGTTCTTAGGCTTAAGAACCAAAAGCGTGATCTGAAAAAGAAGAAAATTGGTAAGTTGGTCTTTACCAACATTAAACCATTTTGCTCTTGAAACCACGCTGTGAAGAGCGTGGAGAGAGAAGCCACGGAGTTGCAGAAAATACTTGCAAGTCACATCTGGCAAAGTACAGCTGACCCTTGAGCGACACGGGTGTGGACGGCTGGTGCCCACTCAGACGCGGTGTTTCCAGGAAATACATGTCCTTCCGTGCATGTGTTTTCTCTTCCTGTTGACTTTTGTACGAACATTTTCTTCTCTAGCTCACGAGTCAATGTGTCCATGGACTCTGCGTTGTCAGTAGGGCTTCGGGTCCACAGGGCGCTGTTAGCACTTAGGTTTCTGGGCAGTCAGAGCTCGAGGCAGTTGGCACCCTACACTCCCACATTATTCGAGGGTCAACTGTACTCATATTCCAAAATGCGGAAAGAGCTCTCAAAATGCAATGTCAAGGAAACCTAAAAAAGGAAGAGGCCTGAACTTTGAAGAAATGCCCAACAGACGCAGGAGATGGCAAATATGCACGTGAGAAAGAGGCCCAACACCATTACTCATCAGGGAGATGCAAACTGAAGCCGCAGCGAGACACCCTTAGACGCCTCTCAGAAGGGCCACCGGGGACAAGGCTGACCATGCCCGGCGCTGGCGGGGACGCGGGGAGTGGGGCGCTCGAACAGCGCCGGGGGGACTGCAGGGTCACACAGCCCCTGGGGACACATCTTGGCAAGTCAGCGCGGTAAGGAATCTCGGCTCGGCATTGGGCATCAGGGCATCGCAAACTAAATCCGGTAAGATGCCACCGCACACCAATGGCTAATATTTAATAATAAGTTTAAAAGCCTGGCACGTCCTGGGCCGGCAAGGATGCAGAGGCGCGGGAACTGCCCTGCGCCGTGAATGGGGGCTGGGGTGGAGGGACGGGGACGCAAGGGGACTTCGGCGCGGCACGTGGCGGCCTTGGGCGTCCGCCAGGTCTCAGCGCTGCGCACCTGCCAGCGCCTCCCCTGTGTGTGTGTGGGGGGGGGAGGAGGGCGGACGGGAGCACCTGCTTGGCTCGGGGAGGTCACGCGGGCAAAATTCCTCTCCCTGAAGAAGCTGAGGACCGCAAGCTTTTGACAGATTTTTTTTTTTTTTTGCTCTTGATTATCTTTTATGTTCTACTTCTCTTCGTTTTTGTTGGTTGCGTTTTACCAGACCTGGTGGTCCCGAGATGCTTTCCCGGGTGGTGCACACGAGGCAGTTTCCAGAACAGCTGTAGTGTCCCAAGGGCTTTACCTTCCGGACCCTGGATGGCTCCGGGGACCCAGAATTGAACTCACCTCCCCCGGTCGCCGGGTTGCCGTGCGGTGCCGATATCTCTGGAAGCGCCTGGGGTGCTCGGGTTGCTGGGGTGTTGGGATTCAGCAGCGGGCCTTGACCCGGACGTTCCCCGCACCTCATCCCACGTCTGCTCAGCGGTCCCCATCTGAAGACCCCATTTCCCTCTGTTCGGAGAATTGTTCCCTGTGGTGGATCTTTCTGGAAATCTCCTGATGAAGGCTGGATTTGGACGACATCATCCACTCCCCTCGGGGCCTCCACATCCCACCTGCGAGCCCCTCATCCGCCCCCGACCGCCCTGGCCACCGGGCGCCCTTCGTGGGTGCAGGGGGGGGGCCGCAGCTCACGAGCACCCCGTGGCCCTCACGGAGGCTGTGGCCCTCGGGGCCCGCAGGCAACCGTCCCTCACCCGGAGGGCGGCCTCGGCGGGCTGCACGGCCCGAAGCTCTGGGGTCCGCGGTGCCCCCGGCTGTTTGCTCCCTGACAGACACCCTTGGGGTCCTCGGCCCTGACGGGCATTTTAAGGGCAGCAAGTCCTTCCTGTAAATACAGCAGAATAATAAGCACTCGCAGGACTCGGGCAAAACACCAACGAGGAAGGGGAAGTCTCGGGAGCCTGTCACTGGACAGCACCCGCCGGGGCCGTATAAAAGCCGCCGGCCCGGCACCTCGCACACTCACACCCGCACCCGCACCCGCACCCACACACTCACACCCGCACCCACACCCACACCCCGCCCCAGCACCCACACCATGGCAGCCTCCACCCTGTCCGTCTGCTCCAGCGACCTGAGCTACGGCGGTCGCGTCTGCCTGCCCAGCTCCGGCGACTCCTGCGCCGACCCCTCCTGGCAGGTGGACGACTGTCCCGAGAGCTACTGCGAGCCCCCGTGCTGTGCCCCAGCCTCCTGCCTGACCCTCCTCTGCACCCCTGCGAGCTGCGGGTCCAGCCCCTGCCCATCAGCCTGCCCCGGCTCCTGCCAGCCCTCGTGCTGCAGCTGCTCCCCCTGCCAGGAGGGCTGCTGTGTGTCTGTCTGCTGCAAGCCCGTGTGCTGCACCCCTGTCTGCTGCAAGCCCGTGTGCTGCACCCCTGTCTGCTGCAAGCCCGTCTGCTGTGAGGCCTCCCCCTGCTGCCAGCCCAGCCCCTGCGCCCCCTCCTGCTGCAAGCCTGTCTGCTGCAAGCCCGTGTGCTGCACCCCCGTCTGCTGCAAGCCCGTCTGCTGTGAGGCATCCCCTTGCTCAGCCTCCCCCTGCTGCCAGCAGTCTAGCTGCCAGCCCTCCTGCTGCAGCTCCTCCCCCTGCCAGGAAGACAGCTGTGTGTCTGTCTGCTGCAAGCCTGTCTGCTGCAAGCCCGTCTGCTGCACCTCTGTCTGCTGCAAGCCTGTCTGCTGCAAGCCTATCTGCTGCACCACTGTCTGCTGCAAGCCCGTGTGCTGCACCCCTGTCTGCTGCAAACCCGTCTGCTGCCAGTCCTCCCCCTGCTGCCAGCCCAGCCCCTGCAGACCCTCTTCCTGCGTGTCCCTACTCTGCCGCCCCGTGTGCAGGCCTGCCTGCTGTTCATCCGCCTCCCTATGCCAGCCCAGCTGCTGCCCCCAGGCCTCCAGCGTGTCCCTGCTGTGCCGTCCCGTGTGCTCCCGCTGATGGGATACGTGACCCTGGGGCGCCGGGCTTAGGCTCCACCCAGGGATGGTGGGCCTCCCGGCCACCCCTCAGCCCAGCCTTCACCTGTGCTAGGTAGCTGCCCCCACCCACGACGGGGTCCCCTGGATGTCCACCCTCCTGAGCTGACTTCACCTCCCCCGTCCTAAGAACGCTGACCTTGCGGCTCTCTGGGGTTCCTGCTCCCGGGATGCACCTCCACCTGCCTGGGTCACCTGCCTTCCCTCCCAGTTCCTCAGCTCGGCTCTGGTCCCCTGGCCTCACCCTCCGACCTGCTGGCACCTCCCCAGACCCCAATAAACTCATTTCACCGGCTGACCTGCTTCCTTTCATCTGACTCTCACGGGGGTGGGGTGCCGGGGTTTGTACGCGACAGTGGTCTTTTCCCGCCTGAACATCTCTGGGAGGAGGGATGAGAGGTCCCCAAGGCCCAGGGCCCAACTGCTCTGGGTTGGGCTACCGGGTGGGACTCCCGCCCTGGCGTAGGATGGTCAGGGCTGCTGGGCACCACATGCGTCCCCAGGGCTCCCGAGGCTGGCCACCTGCACGTGGGGCATGGCCTGGGGGCTCAGCCCTGGGCCCATCTCCACCCACCACCCCAGCTGGGCAAAGCGGCCCAGACAAGCCGGCCTTGGGCCTGCGGGCAACACAGCCCCTAGGGGCCGGGGGGCCTCCTGGGGTCCCACTGGGGTCCTCCCGAGTGCTGTGCTCATCCCCTGGAGACGTGGAGGACTGGGGTGGCACTGTTGCTGCCAAGATGGGGTAACAGGGACTGGATACCTTCCCACCTGGGCCAACTCAGAGCCCTGACAAGACCCTGAAGCCAGCGTGTCAGGTTCAGGACCCGAGGAGCACCAGAAAATCACAGCGGGGAAGGAAAGGCACAAGGTGCATATCGCCGTTGGGGCTCTCACCCCCTGGAGAATATTTCCAGCACCATGCAGGAGGGTCACCCCAGCGGAGCTCCAGGCACCCTCAAGTTCACAGATGGCCTTGGGCGCAGGGGCAGGCACAGGCAGCCAGTGTTTGGGTTTGGGGTCCCCGTCGTGTTCCGGGGTCGATCTGTGCCCCACCTCTGCCCTTCCCATGCACCCCGCGGCACCTGCTGGTGTAGTCTCCAACCTGGGTCCTTCCAGGGACCTCCTAAGGCAGGACCCACAGACGGTGCAGGGACTCCGTGGGTGGCTTTTTCATTCCCACCTGGGTGTGTAAATTTCCTCCGCATCTCTTCACGGTGTGATCGCTCTAATTCTTCTGTGCTAAGGTCGACTTGGGGCGACCATCCTGCTGCCCGTCCCCAGACTCTTCCATTCTTGGGAAAATGAAGCCGCGTCCACATGGGACATAGACTCGCCTTTGCCCATCCCGCCGCCCCTGGAGCCCACCCTCCCTCCTCTGTCCCCGAAGCACCTCGGAGAAGGGGGGTCACGTCGTCGTTGTCTCTCTGTGACTGGCCTGCGTCTCCGGCCACTAGGTCCTCAGGCTTCCCCCGCATTGGAGTCAGACTCGCTTCCTCTTTAAGGCTGATCACTGTTCCGCGGGAGGGACCGCGTTTGCTTCTCTTCTCATGCCTCGGTGGACGCTTGGGCCGCTTCGACTCTTTAGCTCTTGTGAATGATGCCGCTGTGACCACAGCTGTCAGAGATCTCCTTGAAGTCCTGCTTCCAGTTGTCTTGAGCAAATGCTCGTGTAAGTGCTGGACCCTGTGGTAATTCTACTGTTCATCTTTTCGAGAACCATCGTACTGATTTCCACAGTGGCCGTGGCCAGTTCACGTTCCCACTCACAACCCCCAAGGGCTTCAATTTCTCCACATCCTCATCAACACTTGCTATCTTCTTCTTGCATATATATCATATACACTATCTCCTCCTTGTGATAATATTTACATAAATATTATATATTTATCCTAATGGGTGTAAACTGGCTTCTCATTGGACTTTTGATGCGCATTTCTCTAATGATGAGCCATGTTGAGCATCTTTTCATCCGCTCATTGGTCACATACCTTGTACGTCTTTGGAAAACCGTCTATTCCAGTCCATTGCTTGTTTCTGAGTGGGTTGGTTTGGCTTTTTGTTATTGAGTTTTGGGAATTCCCTGAACATTTTAGATACGAGTCCCTTATCAGAACGGGATTTTCAAATGTTTTCTCCCATTTCTCTGGGACACCCTCGTGGTCCTCGGCCCTGACGGGCATTTTAAGGGCAGCAAAATCCTTCCTGTCAATACAGCAGTATAATAAGCACTCGCAGGACTCGGGCAAAACACCAACGAGGAAGGGGAAGTCTCGGGAGCCTGTCGCTTGACAGCACGCCCCAGGGCCGTATAAAGTCCGCCGGCCCAGCACCTTGCACACTCACACCCCCACCCACATCCACACACACCCACACCCCGCCCCAGCACCCACACCATGGCCGCCTCCACCCTGTCCGTCTGCTCCAGCGACCTGAGCTACGGCAGCCGCGTCTGCCTGCCCGGCTCCGGAGACTCCTGCGCCGACCCCTCCTGGCAGGTGGACGACTGTCCCGAGAGCTACTGCGAGCTCCTGTGCTGTGCCCCAGCCTCCTGCCTGACCCTCCTCTGCACCCCTGCGAGCTGCGGGTCCAGCCCCTGCCCACCGGCCTGCCCCGGCTCGTGCCAGCCCTCCTGCTGCAGCTGCTCCTCCTGCCAGGAGGGCTGCTGTGTGTCTGTCTGCTGCAAGCCCGCGTGCTGCACCCCTGTCTGCTGCAAGCCCGTCTGCTGTGAGGCCTCCCCTTGCTCAGCCTCCCCCTGCTGCCAGCAGTCTAGCTGCCAGCCCTCCTGCTGCATCTCCTCCCCCTGCCAGGAAGTCAGCTGTGTGTCTGTCTGCTGCAAGCCCGTCTGCTGTACCTCTGTCTGCTGCAAGCCTGTCTGCTGCACCCCTGTCTGCTGCACCCCCGTGTGCTGCCAGGCCTCCCCCTGCTGCCAGCCCAGCCTCTGCAGACCCTCCTCCTGCGTGTCCCTTCTCTGCCACCCCGTGTGCAGGCCCGCCTGCTGCGCATCCTCCTCCCCCTGCCAGCCAAGCTACTGCCCCCAGGCCTCCAGTGTGTCCCTGCTGTGCCGCCCCGTGTGCTCCCGCTGATGGGGCACGTGCCCCCGGGATGCTGGGCTCAGGCCCAACCTAAGGACCCTGGGCTTCCCGGCCACCCCTCAGCCCAGCCCTCACCTGTGCTAGGTGGCTGCCCCCAACCACGACGGGGTCCCCACAGGTGTCCACTCTCCTGACTTGACTTCACTCCTCCCTCCCAAGAACACTGACCCTGCCACTCCCCAGGGCTCCTGCTCCCGGGACGCACCTCCACCTGCCCTGGGTCACCTGCCTTCCCTCCCAGTCCCTCTGCTCGGTCACCTGGCCCTGCCCTCCAACCTGTGGGCCCCCTCCATACCCCAATAAACTCACTTCACCGGCTGACTTTCTTCCTTTCATCTGACTCTATGGGGTGACCGTGTGGACTCTGGGGCTTCCTGGCTGAGGCCGAGTAGCCACAGGTGCCCCAGGGAGTCCGTGTGTACCTGGGCTGCTCTGCGAGTGGGTCCTGGCCGTGAGGCTGCCGCGTGTCCCCCAGAGCCTGCTGCCGGCTTTCGGCGAGGGAGGGTGGCTGGGTCATATGGCCTCTTCCTGTCACCGTTTCCAGGGCCCTCGCACTGTTTTCTACCTCAGCCCTTCAGGGCTGCAACCCCGCCCCACTTTCTCTGTGTCCCTGCCAGTACCCCTGCGGCCTCATGTGCAGTAGCCCACCTGATAGGTCCCACAGTGCGGGGCTTTTAGCACAGAACTTGTCACGGTGGTGGGCCCTGCCCTTCCTCCCCTCCCCTTTCCTCCCCTGCCCAGCCTCCCCTGCCCAGCCTCCCCTGCCCCTCCTCCGCTGCCCCTCCCTCCCCTGCCCAGCCTCCCCTCTCCTCTCTCTTCCCTGCCCAGCCTCCCCTCCCCCTCTCTCCCCTGCCCAGCCTCCTCCCCCCCATCCATCACCTGCCCAGCCTCCCCTCCCCTCTCTCTTCCTTGCCCTGCCTCCCCTCCCTCTCTCTCCCCTGCCCAGCCTCCTCCCCCCCATCCATCACCTGCCCAGCCTCCCCTACCCCTCCCTCACCTGTCCAGCCTCCCCTGCCCCACGTTCTCTTTCAGAAGAACGAATACCTGTTCACTGTGGTGGCGGAGGAGCCCGACGCCCTGCTGCTCGGCCTGCGGTACTCGCCCACCCGGCTGCACTTCCTCTTCCTGAGCCAGGACGCAGCGGGAGCCTGGCAAACGCGAGTGACTTTCCGCAGTCCCACCCTGATGGACAGCCAGTGGCACACGCTGGTCTTGGCCGTGTCGGAAGGCTCCTTCTCCCTCACCACAGACTGTGGCCTCCCGGTGGACATGTAGGTGGCAGGACGCAAGGGGTGGACCAAGGGGGCCGGGGGCCACCTGCCAAGATGCGGCCCGGGCATCGGTGCAGGGTGGCTGGCCCAGCTGCGGCTGGCGTCGTGCAGTGTGCACCGGGGCACTCGGGCCTGTGGGCCAACAGCCGTCAGGGGCATCCCTGAGGCAGGAGTGTGGGGTCGTCAGCAGGGTCGGAGACCAGACCGTTCTCCGGAAGGGCCGCAGCGGGTGGGGGCCGATGCAGGCGCCCGAGCTGGGGGCACTGGACATGGCAGGGGAAATGTGCCCTGCAGCGTGTGGTCACCATCACAACAGGCCGCAGAGGAAGGTCACAAAGCTCAGGCACCAGCGCCAAGGTGAAGCTGCAGCCTGACTCGAACCCAGCTCCTGCTGTGCCATTTTCAACACATCCCTTGACTTAAGACTCAGTTTGCTTGTCTGGGTTGAGGGAGTGACATAATGGGGTGCAGAACAATCCATCCGGTAGCTTTGACCCAGCCCCAGAAGCCTGAGTCCACACCCTGTCCCACCGTCACCTGGTCGCCAGGCTGGACCAGGGCGCGTGGGTCCCCACAGCCCCGTCACGGAGTGATGACCCCTGTCGCCCTCAGCTTCCACCCTGGCTCAGTGGGGCTGGAGACTCTTTTTCTTTTTTTTTTAATCAGAGATTGTCCAGTTTACATAAAATCGATCATTATTCCAAATATTATTTGCAAAGGCAGACTCTCACTCTGCTTTGTTACCATGGAACTGACTCCATAATAAAAAAAAATCCTTGACATTCATACACTTCGTTTAAATACGTCTCTACTACAAGCGCCCCCCCCCCCCCTCATGCCCTCAAGTACATCAGGGCCTTTACCGGGTGATGACAGTAGGGACCCAGCAGGGGGACGGCTCTGTGATGGGGACGTGTAGGGGCCAAGGAAGGGGACGGAAGGAGCCAGGGCTGCAGCCACTGGTGGCCAAGGAGGAACCTGGGTCCTGCGGTCAGGCTTCCCAGGCCTTGTGGGAGCCACGGAGGGCACCCCTGTGATCAGAGCTGTGGTGGCAGCACAGGGGATCCTGGGATGGCGGTCAGGATCTGGCCTCACCATGGCCAGCTGCAGCCAGACGCAAGGCCGGAAGGAGCAGGTGATCTTACAGGAGGATATGGCACCGAGGAGCAGGAGGGGGCAGTAGGAGAAAGCACATGTCTGGTTCATCAGCCCCAGAGGCTCCGGCCAGGATGTCCCTTCCAGCATGTTCCTACCGTCCCCCCCACCCCAAGGGTTCAGCTTCCATGTCCGAGTCAAGACCCAGCTCTGGCCACATCTTCCAACACTTCCCAGGCCACCAGCAAGGATCCCTCCCCACCAGATACCATCTGTGCCCCCCAGGCTTGGTGGAGGGTGGGCAGGCGGGGGATCCAATGCCAGTCTGAGCCACCTGAGGTTCCCGAGAGATGGAGGAGCCACTCTGCAGCCACACTTTTGCAGAAGACTCTTGTCCTGGAGCAAGGAGCATCCCTCAGATGCAGGTCCCCCAGAACCGGGGAATGGGACCTTGCTCGGAGACGGCGTCCTTGCAGGTGTGATCAGGTGAAGCTGAGGTCGTACTGGAGTAGGGCAGACCCTGGTCCAGAGTCTGGGGTCCTTATAAGAGCAGGAGAGGCACAGAAAAGGCCACGTGTAGACAGAGGCAGCAGGGGGCGGGGGGATGTGGGCTACAGCCAGGAAAGACCAGAAGCCCCCAGAAGTTGGAAAAGCCGAGAGAAACCTCCCCCGGAGCCTCCAGCAGGAACACGGCCCTGCAACACCTTGATCTCAACACTTCTGGCCTCCAGATCCGTGGACCACCTGCCGTCTGAGCCCAGATGATGAGCGTGTAGAGTTTGTTACAGTCGCCCCGGGAAACTGAGACCCCTCACATGCTGCTTCTCCCTGTCCTTTTCTGTGTAAATGGGCCATGACCCTGCTCCCCACGGCCCTAAAACCAAACTCAAATGTTTTCAGAATGGCCGACGTGCCCTTCCCGGCCACCCTGTCCGTGCGAGGAGCCCGATTCTTCATCGGCAGCCGGAAGAGGACCAAAGGCCTGTTCACGGTAAGGAAGGAAGGGGCTGCCTGTCTGGCCTCCCAACAGCAGCGCTCACAGAGGGGCTGTCACTACAGGCCTGGTGTCCTCACACTCTGATTCAAAAGATGGGTGTGCATGCCACGCAGGACCAGGAGCCCTGGGGTACACTAGGGCCCCGTTCTTGCCAGGCACATTTCCCCATGTTCTTTCTTCCTGGCACACTCACCCCACTGCCAGTGCGGCTCGCACCCTACACCCTCAGGGCCCTGCTCCATGTCCCCTTCCATGGACACCTTCTTCTGCCACTTAGAGAAAATGAGACTTGTACCCAGCCCCTTCCCCTGGTTGTCTTCTCCCCCGTATCCCTGACGGTCCTCAGACCAGCTGTGCGTTTGCTCATTTCCTATCTCTCCCCTAGAGTGCAGGTGAGGGACCTTGTTGCATGAGTGTAGGGGCTCTTGTTCCTGCTCTGTCCAGTGCCTAGCTCCATGCCTGATACATAGCAGGTGCTTGGTGAATATTTATGGATGGCGCGCTTGGGTGGATGGATAGATGGGTAGCTGGAGGGGTGGGCGGATGGACATATGGATGAGTGAGTGATGGATGATTGAATGGGTGGGCGGGTGAACATACAGAAGAGGGATGGATGGATGGACACATGGATGATGGATGAGTGAGTGACAGATGGCTGAATGAGTGGTTGGGTGAGTGAATATATGGAAGAGTGATGGATGGATGAATGAGTGGATGGACATATGGTGGATGGATGGATGGGTAGATGGATGGATGGATGGGTTAGATGGATGGACACATGGATGGATGAGTGAGTGACGGATGGATAGATGGATGGACAGATGGATGGATGAACATATGGATGGATGAATGAGTGATGAATAGACATATAGTGGATGGATGGATGGGTGGATGGATGGATGGATGGATGGATGGATGGATGAGTGGCATATGGAAGGATAGATGGATGGATGGATGGACATATGGTGGATGGATGGATGGGTTAGGTGGATGGACACATGGATGGATGAGTGAGTGACGGATGGATGGACATATGGATGAACAGATAAGTGAGTGGTGGATGGATGGATGGGTGAGTGATGGAAGGACATATGGTGGATGGATGGATGGGTGGATGGACAGACAGATGGACAGATGGATGGATGAGCAATGCAGCCCAGTCACCCAAGGTTGGTTCACAGGGAAAACCCCTTCTGTGACCTCATTACCTTAGAACAGTGTATAGTTCTCCGCCCTTGCTCCAGTGCTCCCCACCCCCACAGCCAATGAGCAGATTCTTCTCTCGTAGCTCTAGAGGTGGCTAGACCCTCATCCCCATTCCCACCTGGCCCCCAGGCTCTGGACAGGCTGAGTGAGCCTAGTGGCCCAGGTCCTCTCTGGAGGTGAGGTTCTAAACACGCTGTCCCTCTCTCTGCAGGGCCTGGTGAGGCAGCTGGTGTTGCTGCCCGGCTCGGATGCCACCCCAAGGCTCTGTCCCTGCAGGAGTGCCGAGCTGGCTGTCCTGTCCATCCCCCCTGTCCTGCAAGGTCTCTCGGGGAGGCCAGAAGATAATGAGGTGCTGAAATACCCCTATGGTTAGTAGGTCAAAGCCACCCACTGCCCCGCACTGACGGTAGACCCCAAGAGCTTTGTCACTTTCCGACCTCCCCTGGTAGCAAAGACGGGGGTGATTATCCAACTGACCTCCGAGGGTGCCCTCGCGGCTCTCCTTAGTGTGTGCTTGCGGGTTCTCCACGTTAAGTCACAGTTTGGACCGGTTGTGTAATTTATGTAAGCAGCAGCCCCTGGAGCAGCCGAATCTCCTCCCACCACCCCTCAGCCCGCCCCTCCCAGTCCTCCTGGCCATGCTTCCCCGCTCAGGGGAGCCCCTCAAGGGCGTCGGCCCTCACGGTCCAGTCCTGGGGTGGCTTCCAAACTCCAGAAGCACCGGCTGCTGCTCTTTATGTGCTCACGTTGGAGAGGCTAGAGACTGGGGCGCCTCGGTGGCTCAGTCGGTTCAGCAGCCGACTCTTGATTTCGGGTCAGGTCGTGATCTCAGGGTCGTGGGACTGAGGCCTGCATCAGGCTCTGTGCTCAGTGGGGAGTCTGGGGTTCTCTCTCTCCCTCCTTCCCTTCCCCCTGCTCCCATGTGTGCTCACGCTCTCTCTCTTTCTCCCTAAAATAAATAAAACTTGGAGAAAATAGTCTACAAATTGATGCAGTTTATTGTCATGACACTCTGAATAATTTTATAGCAAAAGTACAATTTTGAATGATTCCTTAGTTAACAGTACAATTTTGAATCATCTTTAAGTAAAGAAGAGACACAGAGGAAAAGAATTTCCCCGCACAGAGAAAATTTTCAGGCCCTTAATGGGAATTTGCCACACCTGTCCAGTCCCTGCCCAGAACAAGAGGCAGGAGGCAGGAGTGAGAGCCCAGGCCTCCACTGGGCGCTGCATCCGGCGCAGGTGCTCTGGTCACAGCGCTGGCCGTCGGGTGCAGCACCCATGTCGCTGTAAGTCGGCTGCGCAGCATCTTCAGGATGAGTGGGCCTGGCCCTAGAGGAGGTGTGACCACCTGAGGACGGGGTCAGACGCCAAGAACTGGGCAACCACCAAGCTTAGGTAAACTGGCACCACAGAGTGACCGGTCTGAGAGGAGGGCAGGGCAGCCGTGTAACGGCCAAGGCTTTTCTTGTTTCCTTTTTGTTTTTAAAGATTTTATTTATTCATTCATGAGAGACACAGAGAGAGACACACACACAGGCAGAGGGAGAAGCAGGCTCCACACAGGGAGACCGATGCGGGACTCGATCCCAGGACCCCGGGGTCACGCCCTGAGCTGAAGGCAGACGCTCAACCACTGAGGCTCCCAGGTGCCCCTGGCCAAGGATTTTCCAAAGGAAGGAGGGCCGTGGTCCACAGTGGGCGGGGAGGCAGGAGGGAGGCCTCGCACCGTCCGTCCCACTGTGCAGGGGCCTCGCTCCCTCCCCAGGGCCACGTGGAGAGCTGTGTGTCCTCATGGGCCCTGCACGCAGAGGCAAAGGCAGGACCGCCTGGGCCAGGGGCCACCCCCAGCTCCTGTACTCTGGACCCTCCTTGTCTCCCCCTAGAAACCGACTTGAAGGTGACGCTGGGGTCCCGGCCCCCGTGCACCAAAGCGGAGGACACCCAGTTCTGGTTTGACGCCAGCCGGAAGGGGCTGTTCCTGTGTGTGGGCAGCGAGTGGGTCTCCGTGTTAGCAGGTGAGGCGGGCGGCGGGCTCCCCGGCCCGGGAGTCAGGGTTACCTGGGAATAGGGAGCGGCCCCCCAGGACAGCAGGCCTGTGCACGATTTCATTGGATCGTGTGTCTTCTGGGCACGGCACATGGGGGGCGGGCTTGTCGTGCTCCCCTCGTCCAGGTCGAGTCCCCGAGGCCCCAAGGGGGCAGCCTCGTGGCGCCGCGTGTGCCCCTGGGATCTCAGATGCTGGAGCCCGGAAGCACGTCATTCCTGAGTGTGTCCCGTGGGGCCTTCCCGCGTGGGGACAAGGGCGCTCGGGACCCTCGCCCGCGGGGATCAGGAGCCGCCTGCAGCGCCGCTCACCCGCCTGGAACCCAGTCCCTCGGGCACCGAGCAGTGGGCATGGGAAGCGCGGAGGAGGGACCCAGGCCACCCCGTCATGTCACGGGGGCTCCGCACACCCCACACCCGCGCAGGCGCCAGGGCCCCTCTGCCAGCCTCTGTGTGCGGGGGAGACGCGCTCGGGGCAGCTCGCCGTCCGGAGAGCCCCGACGGGGGCCAGGGCCGTGGCCTCGGGGCTCGGGCTCGGGGCTCGGGGCTCAGGGCCTGGGGTCTGGGTCTCGCTCCCCGACGGCCAGCGGCCTCCACTCCGGGCGGCGTGACCGGGGCTGCACGGTTCTCTCACCAGCCAAAGAAAAGCTGGACTATGTGGAGGAGTACCAGAGCCTGTTCACCAGCTCGGAGACGCTGGGCATCGAGGTCTTTGCCATCCCCGAGGCTGGGCTCTTCGTAGCAGCTGCCAACCGGAAGGCCGCGTCCGCCATCTACAAGTGGACGGACGGAAAGTTCGCCTCGTACCAGAACATTCGCACGCACCAAGCGCAGTCCTGGCGACATTTCACCATCGGGAAGAAGGCAAGTCTGCTTCCAGCCACTTTCTTTTTCTTTTTTTTTAAGATTTTATTTATTCATTCATGAGAGACACAGAGAGAGAGGCAGAGACACAGGCAGAGGGAGAAGCAGGCCCCACGCAGGGAGCTGGACGCGGGACTCGATCCCGGGACCCCAGGATCATACTCTGGGCTGCTGGCGGCGCTAAACCGCTGAGCCACCCGGGCTGCCCTCCAACGACTTTCTCAATCCTTTTTATCTTGGAAAAACCCCGAGTCCAGACGTTGGCTCTGCTCGTGTAGTCGGGAAAGTATTTCTCGTGGTTTCAAAGTCCTGCTCCGGTTCTAAGCAGCTTTCACAGTCACTTAGCGGGGCCTCTAAGTCCGGGATGTGAAGTCTGGTTTCCTACAAAATAGGAGGCACGACCGTTCCCGAGCCGCCGCCCGGGTCCAGGTAACCCATCGGGGCTAAATTAACAGCTTGTGGGCTCCTAGGAGCAGGTCCACAGTGTGGAATTCACTGGCGACAGAGACACTCACTCCGTGGACTCTGTATCCAAACGGAGGGGGCCGGGCCCGGAGGTGAGGGTGTGGGACCCCCCCCCGCGGGCAGCCCCTGCGCAGCCACGGCCGGATGGGGCCAAGGGCATGGGCGTGGGGCCGAGGGCTGCCCCCAGCACGACGCATTCTCTGATCAGCGCCCCCTGCCCCCTGGACCCCAGCGGGAGAGTCCTAGGGCCACCCTCCTGCGCCCCCCGCATCGCTCGCCGACCGGAGCCAGGTGCGGCCTGCCCTCAGCTGGGCCCACCCGAGCATGAGCAGGAGCGGGACGGACAGGCCTCTGCGCTCCTGTTGCTCACAGAACCCCCCGCCCCGCGGCCCAGCCGTGCCCGAGCCCAGCGTGGCGAATCGCTGGCCGGCGCTCTGGCCTTTCGGTTGGTGACATTTTTTTTAAAAAGATTTTATTTGTTTATTCATGAGACACCCAGACTGACAGGCAGAGACACGGGCAGAGGGAGAAGCAGGCTCCCTGCGGGTAGCCCGATGCAGGACTCGATCCCAGGACCCGGGGTCACGTCCTGAGCCGAAGGCCCCAGGTGCCCCAGTTGGCAACATTTTCGTTACAAAAAATGCTGACTTCCCATCAAAGAAATACCAGGAAATTCAGAAAAACAAGGTGGGGCAGGTCTGTCCCGTCCCCGTTCAGGTGTGGGGCTTACTGAGTGCACACTTGCTTCCGTGCTCCACGGGTGTGCCCCCCACGACCAGCCAGCTTGGCCCCAGGTCCCGTCACAGGGGAGTGGAGTGGAGGGGAGGGAAGGGAAGGGGAGGGGAGGAGGGGAAGGCAGTTTTTTGTCTGTTTTTAAAGAAATGCTGATGAGGTACGGGCACCTGTGCGCCACACTCGGCCACGCGACAGGCGCGAGCTTCCCAGCGGAGGCGGCCCAGGGTGCTCTGCTCATCCCGGGGACAAGGACCACTCTGTGCATGAAGCGTCCCTGAGTCTGGGGACCATGGGCCGGCGAAGAGACACGTTAGGGGCGGATCCGCAGAGACGGGGCCGGCGGACAGGGACGCGGGAGCTCCGTGGCCTCAGCGCCGGCCCGGGCACAGACGGCAGGAACCAGGGTCCCGGGCGTGTGTTTCAGGTGTTCCTGGCCGTGGCTAATTTTGAGCCGAATGAGAAGGGTCAGGAGTTCTCCGTCATTTACAAATGGAGCCAGAGAAAGCTGAGGTTCACGCCGTACCAGCGGGTCCCCACCCACAGCGCCCGGGACTGGGAGGCCTTCGAGGTGGCCGGGGAGCACTTCCTGGCCGTGGCCAACCACCGGGAAGGTAGGCTGCGGCCTTGCGCGGAGGAGACCACGGGGGGTGGGGCTGGCTCCCCCCACCCCCCCCCCAGGGCCTGCTTTCACCCCGTTAACAGACTACAATAAACCGCACCTGGCCCGGGTCTCTGGGCTTGGCCCTCTGACAGCGGCGCCCCGGGCCAAGGCACCTGAGCACCTTCTCCCCGTCCAGGTGGGGAGACAGAGGCAGTGTGTGGGCGCCTGCCCAGGACGGGGGTCATGGGAACGTGGCCCACCTGGCCGCGCACACCGCCTCATCTCAAACTAACCGACCAACTAAGTGACTGGCCTCCTCGTGGGAGGAGTTGGCTGCAATCGGTGTGGAGGCGAGCGGTTGCCCGGCAGCCGGTGTCCTGCAGAGGGACGGTGGTGGGGACGCCGTGCTGGAGAGTCGGTGCAGGCTGTTGTCTCCTTGGGGACAGGCTCCTGCCTTCTGGACGCAGGCTCCGTGATGCAGGGGGTGCAGGGGGTGCAGGGGCACAGGCCCGGCAGAGGCCAGGGGGCTGGTTTCTGGCCCAGCGATGGCCTGCGTGAGCACAGCTGGCCCCTCCCGGGGAATGGGAGAGGGCAGGGTCGGAGGCAGCGGGCCCTGGAGGGCATCTCTGGCCAGGCCTCGGCCACAACGGGCCAGGGAGCTCCATAGGGGCCTGGGAGGAGCACCTGTCCCCCCGCTCCTGGGCAGGGGGACCCCAGAGGCCTCCTAACCAGTGCTCCTCGGGAAGTGGGTGTCCTGGGAGAGGCTGGCCCAGCCAGGGGGGCTCCAGGGAGAGTGACGTAGGGACGGGGCTTCTGGGTAGAGGAGCAGAAGGTGCGAAGGCCTGACCTGTGGGTGACAGCGAGAGCTGCGGGGTCCTGGGCAGTGTGAGAAGAGAGGTAGGGAGGGTGGGGTCCCGTCTCTAAGGGACACAGGGAGGACTTTCATCTGGGCACAGGGGCAGGGAGCATGGGGGTGGCCAGGGGGATGACTGCTGTGGAGGGACGCCCAGGGCCTGGGGCAGGGCCAGGGCAGGGCTGCACCAAGGCCACTGCAGGGCCTCAGTCGTCTGCCTCCCTCCCTCACCGGCCGCTTGACTTGCAGGTGACAACCACAACATCGACAGTGTCATCTACAAGTGGAACCCGAGGACCCGCCTCTTCGAGGCCAACCAGACCATTGCCACGTCGGGCGCCTACGACTGGGAGTTCTTCACTGTGGGGCCCTACTCCTTCCTGGTGGTGGCCAACGCCTTCAATGGCACGTCCACGAAGGTGCACTCCCACCTGTATGTCTGGCTCCTTGGCTCCTTCCAGCTGTTTCAGGCCTTCCTGGTAAGGAGCCGGGGGGACCCCCATGTCGAGCCTCCAGCAGGCCGCGTGGCAGTGGGAGACAGATGACACAGGACTGGGGCCCTGAGATCCAGGACAAGTGCCCGGCCCCTGACCCTCACCCCAGACCCTCCCCACCAGAGCACTGCCCCCTGCGTATGGCTCAGGCTGAGGTGTTCCCTGTTACCCCAAGTGAAGCCTGGGGAGCCCTAAAGCGAGGCGGGAGGGTGCCCTGGCCCTGCCCTCCCTCTGGCACAGAGCTTTTCCGGGAAGCGCTGGGGGCTCGGCGGGCCTTGTGGCCCCTGGGCAGGCCTCAGCCAATGACTGGCCCTTCCATGAGTGTCAGGCTCCTGCCTGGGGCAGCCGGGCAGCAGGCCCCTGACCTGACCCCGACCTGGCCCCGACCTGGCCCTTCACCTGGCCTGACCCAACCCTGACCTGGCCCCTGACCTGGCCCTGACCTGGCATGTGCGGGGGAGGGGCAGCACGGCCCGCTTCCCCTCAGACCTCCGTGCACACGTCGGTGAAACCTTTGAGTCGAGCGAGGCACGAGTGTCTCTCTGGGCGGACGGCGCTGGGCACCCCGGGGAGCCATCGTGCTGGCCCTGGTCCTGGCTCGAGGGCCGAGGATCTTGGAGGGCCGCACAGGTGCCGGGCGGGGTGCACACGGGCCATCTCAGGAGGCGGGGCTGGCGCTGGCGGCCCACCTGTGTTCTGATGAGCTGTGGGCGCTCCCTCTACGTGCTGGGATCGTCATGGAGAGGCTGTCACCACCAACACGACGCCTTCCTCCCTGGATCCTTCCGGAACACTCCTTTGCTCGTTTATCTGGCCCTCATTCACCCAGCAGAAATGCGTTGAGGGCTCCCCTGAGCCTTGGGTGGGGACCCCTTGGGCGTTCGACATCACTGGTGGAGGAGGGAACGCGCTGAACCCCCTCCCGTCGGGTCTGCAGGGAAACGGGGAGGGCGGTGGGGGCTTTGCTAGGCAGCCCCTGCACGGAGGCCCCGAGGCCCGCGGCCGTCTCCTCTGGGACAAGCCCGGAGGCCGCCCTCGGGGCAGGTCTCAAACGCAAGGAGGGATGACGACCCTCCGCAGGCTCCTCTGCGGGCCGTTCCCTCCGCCATCCAGGTGACACCCACTCGCTGCCCCGCACCCCTCAGAGCACACAGTGCGGTCAGGGCACCCCTTCCAGGGTCCGTGGCAGGCGGCCCCCTCGGGCAGGGACGTGAGGACCAGCCCCCGAGGGGGAGGGCCGCTGCGGGAGGGCAGTCAGGGCGCAGTGCCCCGCAGGTGGAAGGGAGCCTCCCCCAAGACGTGAGGGCGCCCGCACTGTGCTATGGCCAGGGCAGCCGTGCCCAGTGTGCATGGGGCGGGGCAGCGCCAGGGCGAGACAAGCACGTCGGGGGAGCCAGTTCCCAAGTGCCGTGGTGGGACCAGGGGGCCCGATGTGAGCAGGGAGGCAGCACGACCCCAAGATTGCTGGCAGGAAGACGACCCTCCTGGGGCTGCCGATTCCCGAGAGGGACCCCCAGGAGGACTGGGACTGGGGTGGGCATGAGTCCTCACACCGCGTGCCTTCCTGCAGGCTCGGGGCTAAGCGGGGGGAGCGGTGCAGCTGAAAGTGCCCGAACCCGGGGCTTCATCCACCTCCTCCCGCTCCATTCTCTCGGCCTCCCTGGAAGCTAGGTGCTGCCCCTCATTTCGCCTCACGCCCGGGGACACTGAGGCACGGGGGTCCGGCACTGGCACCTGGCCACGTGGCGCCGTCGCTCTGGTCAGCGTTGCGCAGAGCTGTCGAGGACGAGCGCCTTCCGAGGACTCCGCCGTCGCTGCGACGCCTTGACAGAGCCGAGGTCCGGAAAACAGCGCGGGCGGCCTGGCCAGAGCCGCCCCAACCACCGGCCTGGCCGCGGGCTCACCGTTTGAAAGGCCTTTGGCGATGGGCCGGCCTGGGAGCCCTCCCGTCCCCCCCCCCGGATGCCCCCGTGGAACCAGCCCCCAGGCCTGTGAGACCGAAGACACACCAGAGTCTGGGAGCAGACGTCGGGATTTGCACACAGGCCTGGGGAGCGGGGACGGTGGCTGAGGACGGCGACACGGCACGGAGCAGCTGCGCACGGGCCGCGTGGAGGCCGGCGCCGGTGACAGGCTGACGGCAGCGCATGTGGAGCCCCCGTGGGCTCTAAGCTACCTCCCGCGTCACCAGGGTCGCACGACGCCCAGCCCGAGGAGGCCTGGTTCTCAAGGAAGATCCAGGGTGATGCTTCCGGGCGCTACGGGGCGGGTGGGGGCCGGGGACAGACCCCTGTGGCGTCCCCGGGGCAGGTCCTGCAGCCCGACGTGGAAGGCGCGGCCCGCGGCTTTCTGGTCCCCACGCCGGGTTTGGGCAGGGCCGTGGCCTGCGTTTGGCATGAACACGGTTCCTGCCGTGGGTCGGAGCGCGCGTTGAGATCATCGCCCCGCGGCTCCCACGCCGTGATCCTCCACCTCCTCCGTGGGAGCCAAAGGCCAGGTCCAGAAGCTGTTCTTCCTCGCGGCACTTCATCGGGGCGGCGATCAGGTGCCGCGGCTCCCGGGGGCCCAGCCCGCCAGGGCACATGCCACCCGCCGCCATCCTCACTCATCACGGGGCAAACACGAGGGAGGCTGAAGCCTGGTAATCGCCGTCAGAGGTATCCAAGCAGACTCCGTGTTTATAAAGTGGCTGCGGGTGCCATGAAAGGACAGTCCTCGGGTCTTAAAAATACGGTCGCTGCCCATATAAGAAGATACTCGTCAACCGCACTGGAAAATGAAGGCGGGGGAGACTTCTAGAATGTGGAGCAAGAAGGTGAGGGAGGGAGAGGGGATCCACCCAGGAGATCCGGATGGAGTGACGCGGGAGCAGAGAGCAATGGGGCCGTCGGGGGGCCCGGAATGCGCCTTCGGCAGGGGACGCTGGCCCTGGACACCACATCACACGGGACTGGCTGTGAGGCAACGGGAAGACCCGAACCTTCCAGAGACGCCAGGACAGCTCCGGAGAGGCTCAGGCCACGGCGCAGGGCGGGTTCCTCTCCCGCAGCCCTCTGGGTTCCGAGGGAGCCCACTCCCGCCTGAATCCTGCGCGCGGCCCCCACGAGGCTCCCCGGGTCTCCTCGGCCCTGCGGCTGCTCCGTCGGAGCCACGGTCAGGGCCAGGAGAGGCGGGAAGCCACACTGGCTGTCACCCCTGCTGCTCAGGGTCAGCCCCGGTCACATGAGCCACACGGGACACTGGGCATGTGGGGCACGTGCTGTCCTGAGGTGTAGACGCGGCGTCCACAGGGAGCAGCTGGCCTTGCCGAGCCGCGGGAAGAGCGGTCACCTTCCGAGGAGGGGCTGCTTGACCCGCATGCAGGGACTGTCCCCAGGGGCTGGGCGAGTGGTGCTCCGAGCTCCTCCTGCCGCCGAAACCCCCCAGGAAGGGCTGGGCTCTGCGAGAGTGACGTTGTGATGTGCCCAGGACCCCATAAATGCTGACACTCACATCTCAAGTCTAGAGTCATCCTGCGGACAACGTCCAGGGGCCGGGGCTAGGGTCGGACCCTGAGTGCATATGTTGGGGTTCGTTGGCGGGACAAGGGGGAGGGGAGGTGAAGGAGGGGAGGGGCCCCATATCTTCCTCCTAGAGCTCCAGTGGGGTGTGCGGCACAGACCAGGCATTACAGGGGTCTCCCCGGGCCCCAGGTGGGGGCAGCTCTGTGTCCCGGTGCCCAGGGCAGGCGTGGTGGGCCGGGCCCCCCAACAAGCAGGACCCAGTGGCCGTGGGCCCCGCCTGTGCACGGGGCACGGCTGCCCTGCTCCCCACGGCCTCGCGCCAAAGCCCTGGGGTTGCCGCTGGTGGGCAACCTCTCTCGCGTCCCCTTTTGAAAAGCCTTCCTGGCGTTTGCAGAGGTACTTGAGGGGAGGTCCGCGGCGGCACTTGCTCAGCGGGCTCGTGATCGCACGTCAGATCCGCTTCACAAGTGAGGACACCGAGGCGGGAGGTGGGGGACCCAGCGAGGGGCGCAGGTTGGGCGGAATCTGGGGTGTGGGCCGGGGCCCTGGGAGGGGTGGGTTCTGGACTCCACGCTCGGCGGCGCTAGTGGTGCTGGTGGCGCTGGGCCAGCGGTGCCCGAAGGCGGCGGCCGCTCTGCGTTTGCAGGCGGGATCCGGGACCTGGGATCCAGCCCCGGTCTGTGCCCTGCCCTGAGGGTGGGGCTGACCCAGGAGCCGGCCCTTGGGCGGTGCCGGGGTCACCACCGCCCCCCAGCCCTGCAGGCCACCGAGGGAGGCCCGGGGTGGCCAGAGCTTCGCGCCCTGCCCAGGGGCCTTCCCTTCGACGCCGCCGTCTCCTCACGGCTCCGTGATGCCTCAGACCCCGCAGAACCCCACTTTCATGTTTTGCCAGCATTTTTCGCATTGTGTTCAAATCCTTCTAGGCCCTGGCATCGCCTTACTGTGCCGGGTGCTCTGAAAGCACGCGTGATGGAGAGGAGCTGACCTCACAGGGGCCTTTGCTGGGGGGCTGGGCTGGCCGTAGGGGGCGGGGGGTGTCACCAGGAAGCCCTGGCCCTACAGGGTCCAGCCTGTGGCTCGTGTGACGGGGAGGCAGACTGCTCACCCTCGGGCACGTTCCCAGCCCCACCCTCTGCATCTCCCCACCTCTCCCACCAGGAATTCCAGAACCTTCCTGCAGACGGCAGAGACCAAGGCCCCAGTGACTTGGCCTCGTAGTCTTAGAGCCAAGGAGGCCGGAGCTGGGTGTGTCCAGGAAGGCATGGCCTCGGTCCACGGGGAGTCCGGCCTCCAGCTGCTGGAATCTCTGCCCCCTGAGCTCTTAACTGGCTGTGGGTCCTGTGGTCACGGCATGGGAGGGGGGCAGGTGGCTGAGTTGGGGTTGGTTGTCCTGGAGATGAGCTGCTGGAAATGACAACCAAGGGCAAGAGGGGCTGGCCGAGTGCCCACGGGATGTGGGGGGCAGAGAGCGAAGCGCTAGGG